TTACCATGAGTGCATGAATTTGTGCATGTGTATTACTTTGTGCGTACTTGTGCATGAGTCTTGGGCAACAAAAATACTTTCTACCGTGAGGATTATAAAGATAATTCCTATATATAACCAATAGGAGAATGGAACTTGAGAGAAAATCCTTAAATGCAACAGAATATTTATAAACTCGAAATCATAGTGAGACTAGCAACAAGTGAATCTCTAGACTATTGATATCACTATCGGAGTTCAATCAAAAGAAAAAATAATCAATATCTATACTACTTATAAAAGAGAATATAGGTGTCAAAACTTTTGATTACCTATTTTGCCCTGGTCAATATTTATTACGATTCTCAAGTTTGATAATTTGCAATGGTTCTTCACGGCATATCTAATCATCTGCTACCATTACAATTTCTAACATATTGCTTCTTCAAATTCCAAACAATAATTAACCAGCAAACCTCTTGAGGACCCCTTCTAATTCCTATTAATTTATGTCAAATCAACACCCACGTTCTCACAATCCATTTCATGATCAGCCCATGCAACCTCCTAACTTCCCTCAATGTATACATCCTCTCCCCTCTTTGAAATAAAATCTCTTTCCCCAAAGTACAACTACGTACATTTTCTTTGATAAGTTTTCATTTCGTTAAATTTAATTATATTTTGAAAATTTTGTATTTAATATTGATCTTTATTTTTCCTTTTCTTTTGGTAAGTTTTCAGTTTATTTTCTTTGGTTTTCATTCCTTTTAGGTCAGAATTGTTATCCACTGTACCAAGAATATTCAAGGTACAAAGATTAAATTATACCTAAATTTTGCTTTTTGTAAGCTATTATTATTGTGTATTGGAGTAATTTAATCTAATTTTTTTAATAATTATAATTGAATTTGGAAAATATTCTACTTCCTCAATTTTATCTAATTTGTGTACTATTATGAGTTTTTCCTTTTGTGGAGCTTCATTGAAAATGAAAAGATTTTTTATGTCTAATATATAATACAAGCACCATGGAACAAACATTGCTAGCTTAATAGAATGGTAATTTGCTCTTAAGATTGAATTTGAGTTTTTATTCTAATTTTTATTAAGAAGAAAAAATGTGTCTTTTAATCAGCAGGTAATTGGTTGCAAATATGATCAACTGGTCAATGACATGCTACCAGATACTATTCTCTAGTATCTTTTATTGAGCTTGCCCATTTGTAAAGTTGTAAGTTTTGATGAATCTTGTAGCTTAAATTTAACTGCGTTTTGGTACCATAAGTCACTAACATCTATCTTCTTGAGGAATACAGATGCTTATAAATTGTGATAAAAGCCATGCTGCTAAGGTTCTTACTACAATGAGATTGAAGATTGTTTTGAAGTGATTAATTACTATGAGACCTTGAATACACCTGATGACTCATTATCTTCTTATGACGAAGCTGCTAAAACTGAGATCTTTGGCACTTCTCTAGGGTGATGTTGATGTGAATCTTCCCCAATCCTTTGCCAGCCATACAAGGATTCTATGATTATGCTCGTAAGACTGCTAATAGTGATCCTTACTGAACCTTAGGTGTCAATTTCTCTAATTATAAATGTTGGTATGAGAATTTTGCTTATTGTGTTCAATATCTAAACATGTCATGGTAAAAATGGTGTTACAGATCTTCTTGACAGCATGAGAAGCCTTGCAACCGTTAAAAGAATTGGTCTCAATATAGTGCTGGTGATCTTCTTTGCTGATGATCTTGGCAAGCATATATCAAATGCAGTTTGAAAGTTGGTGAAACAATTTAGCCAGGCTATTATCAAGACCCAACAATGAACCCTATAATAGTGCAAATCTCTAAGTTTGTTGATCCTTATCATCATTATGCTCCACCTCACCATATTCAGTTACCATCTAACATGTGTATCTGATATCCCATTGCAGCATTTATTAGGATTTATCCCCTCATGCTACTTATGTTGTAAATGTGGGGGTTCTTGAAATGAATTGGGATTTTCAAGTATAATCTTCAAAATAATTGGCCTTCACACTTCTAGGCTGATGATCTTTGCAAACATACATCAAACGAAGTTCAAAAATTAGTACTTTTTGTGTTGGTGATTTTGGATAGTGTTGCTCCAATACAGTCTGTCTGGATATTAGGGTTGAGTTCATATATGGTTCTTTTTTATATGAGCAGCATTTTATTTGTACTAGAACTCTTAGATATTACAATTGCATAAGTCTGAAGATGACACTTATCACTTATATGGTATTATATTCATTCATAGAATTGAATTAATTAGACTTTAGGCCATTCTGGTCAATGCCTTAAATACATCGTCAGATGTTTTTACAATATATGCGTTCTTAATGCACATTGCTCATACAAGTTCTGACCGTTCGTTCCATGTAGTATTTATGGTTCTATTTATGTTTGTATATAGTAAACCAAAGGTCTAGGTTCAGAGCCTAGCCGCAGTCACTGTTCAAAAAGAAAATTCTTTCAAGAAAATTGTTTCCATAAGCTTGATTAGGTCTTACTAATAATCTATGGTGTGGTTAGATACCTGAATGTTTGCTTGCAGCTCTATCAGTCACTCTTATCTATCGCTGAATGTTAGTTTGGCTTCATTTTTGTTTCTTTGAAGTTGTAGCATTGTTCCTACTAATCAACAACTATGGTCATTTGATATATTCTAATAGGCATTGAGCGTATTTGTGGTCTGAGTGTTCTATGGTTTGCTCCAGGTTCAATCAAGTTATACCATCTTTAACACTCAACTTGCCTGTAGCAAGTAAGCATATAAGAAAAAACCACAACTTGCTTCGGGTTTTTATCTAGAATTGCAGTTCAATGCAAACTTTTACATTGATACATTTTAAGTATAGTATTGTCTGATAAATTTTTCCCTTACTCTTTTGTCCACATACTTTGCATTGTCACTTTTTTTAATGATCTGATTTGTTTATAAATATTTTTCTTCATTATGCTTTAGATTTTACATGGTTACACGCACACACTGAATCTTCTTTCCGATGCTTGCTTTAAATTTTATTTTTTTCTTTACAATCGCATTCTTATTTTCTTTTCTTTAAAACATGTTCAGAACATGAAATGAGTATGTCCACATGCAGTGCACGTGCAATATACTAGCCTACCCAAATTTCTTGTATGTTAAAACTTAAAGAAAAGTGCAGAAATTCTTCTAAATGAATATTTCAGTAACTAAATGAAGGTGCTTTACAGGGAAAGATAAAACAAAAATTACTGGAGTCTCAGTCTAGTAGTATGGTAAAATATTTGATGTAATCATATCCAAGTCAAAGCTAGGAGCAGTAATGCATACATCAAATGTCTGTGTGTGTGTTAATATGCATAGGTTGTTTACTAACTAGAGACTGCATATAATTATAGTGGCTAAAAGGACACGTAGCCATCAGGAAATAAATAAGAAAAAACCATACTCCTGAATCTTGTGGACCACAGGGTGATCACTTGTTTCCCACCGCTCACGCATGTCCTCTGCAATCTGCAGGTCATAAAAACTCACTAGAAAATGTAGTGGGAAATGCCAGAGCGATAACTAGGAAAATATAATCACAAATTGAAGCCCAACCTCTTGCCCCTTATTAACAACATTTGTCACAACAGGTTCACTGACCCCTTTCATACGCCTGTAGATAGGAACACCCTCCATCTGAGATATTAACAGAACAATGATTAGAAAATAAATTCACGTTCATAAAACAGATAATCTTCCAGGGTTGCAACTTACACTTCACCTTCTTTTTAAATGCCTCCCACTTCTTGCCCAAGCGTGATCTTTTTGTAGGAACAACTACAATATCACTTCGTGTACTTCTAACTTCAGATGATCGACTGGTAGGATCATACTGAACGCGCCTTGCTCTTGATGGGTTAGAAGTTAGCTCATCTTTAACGATATTATATCCTTTCTTTGCCAAATCTGATACTCTTGTTTCCTTCAATTTCTGGAATGCTGAAGAAACTGCAGGAGAAGCAGAAGAGAAGGTAGACTTAAATTTTCCGAACAGTGTCTCACTCTGTCCACTTGATTCTTTGTAAGTCTCTGAAGTTTGAGAATTCTCAGTTCCAGTTGTTGTGCCTCCTTCTTTTGCATTCGTTGAACTGTATGCAGATTCCGAAGATGCCTTCTTTCCAAGTCCAAATGTCTCTTTGACCTACTCAAGATATTCGTAGAAATTAAGCAGCAGATTAAAAAGAGACACAAACTCTACGTTCCTCAGGAACAAATAATTTAGTTACCTCCTCTTTAGCAGCTGAAAGTTTCTCTTTCACATTTGTTGAAACCTGCATTAAACAAACTGCTTTTCAGCAGATATAGGATATAACAGTAAAAGAAGAAGAGACCAGAAGATAATATCTCAACTGTTGCAAAAATAAGAGTTTTACTGTTTGTGTAATAATATTGTGTACTAGGTAACATCTGAAATGTTTTCTGTTTTTAAAACAAAGTTACTGTCTGCATTATGAAAATTGTTGATTTATTTGTCAAAGACTTTCAGCCTTACCTCTTCTTTAGCAGCTGCAAGCTTCTCTTTCACATTTGTTGACACCTGAGAAAATCAGAAAACAAGAAAAGATATCAACACATATCTAGAAATGGTTTTTTGGTTCTTGCTGAGGTAGGACTCTATATATTCACAGAAAAGCAATCAATTGAGAAGCATCCAAGGAACTGAAGAGCACACACAATTCCCTAAGGCAATAAGGATAGAATTACAATCCCCCCGGGGCAGTTCCTCCTCTGTGAAATCCACTTTCAACTATTGTGAAAGGTCTGGCTTCGGATTTAAAGTGTCATTTTGAAGGGTACCAGGTTTCATTTTTTTCCACATGATGCCAGAACCTCCCAACATACCCGAACTCTCTCTGACTAAGATGAAGCCCATTACGTCTCCTGCCCTTGCTAAATGTAAGTCCTTTTAACCAGCCATGATCAGAGAATGTTTATCTGTGTTGCATCTAGTTATGCGAAAAAAGAACTGATTCTAATATGCTGTAACATCTTGAACTAGCTCCTCAACTAAATCCATCTAATGCAGAAATGAAAGCTTACTGCCTTTACAAAACTAACATACTGACAATATAAATATACTACTAAAAGAAGTCATTGATTTACATACAATTCCATGTCACATACATTATTATGTGAAGCCATTTTCCAACAATTTTCCAACAATCATAAGGTACTTAATACCTACTTCCCAGACAGTGTATAGTGTTGTTGGACATGAGACCATGTCAAGTGTTTCAAATGTTTGAAGGATGCTAACATCAAGACCTTCCAAAATCTGATGCAGGACAACCATATTTTAAGCATAAGTTTAGAGATATGTATATGTTGGTGCAAAAATACATAATAACCCCATTGTTTGATAAAACCATGGTCAGGCCTTTATTTGACATGATTGAGTGGACATCTTGTAAGTTTCCACGTACAAAGATATACACCACTTCATACTTCTAAAATCATGAGCTTTCAAATGCCAACAACCTTTTAAATTAAGATCAAGGTCAGCATATGGAGGGCACATGATTATCAGAGAGCCAGAAAGGCCACTCCTCCTTATCTAGCTATCTCAGGTTTTACCACAGCAGACATGAACAATAGAACATCAGATGATAATATAATTATAGAGAAGTGAAAATAACCCAACATTCATATAGGATAGGAATAAGATGCTACATATTGACAGTCCCAAGATCATGTATACAATTTTAACGAGACCATAGCCAGAATATGTTAGAATAAAAAGTTTAAGGAGACACAAGGAAGCACTATTTATTCTTAAAACAATTAAAATACAAATAAATAGGAGTCCTGAGATAACCTTCTTGGATTTCGCTTCAGCTTCTGTCCAAACATCATCCACACTCTTGTATAACTTCTCTGCCGTCTTCTTTGTTCTGCAATTAGAAGTCAGTTATGATATTCTACTCAGATTTATGGGATATGACTTATACGGTACACTACAGCTTATCAACAACAAAGACGTAAAAAAGAATGACGAAAATTTGAAATCTTACCTCACTTTCAAATCTTCTTTAACAACTCCCATTTTCTCATTCAGCTCCTTCACTGACTGCTGGAATTCGGGGTTACTATCAAAAATCCAAAAACAAAGTTTTACATACTAGCATTTACAATGGGTAAAGAATCTCCATAAGAGTAAGACTAGCATAACTGCCTCCCTATTAGAAAGGGGATACTGGATAGCATTGTCCTCTTATGTCAAGAGAGACATACTGTCCAATCGAGATTGTGAAGATCAAAATCAAATGTTCTGTTATCTTCTCAAAGAAAGATATATTGTGAAATATTGATATAATCAAATAAGAATGATGAAAGTAAGGCAAATTCAGGATTTTTTTAATATTTTTGGCTCATAGCATTGTCCTCTTATGTTAAGAGAGCCATGCTGTCCAATTTAGATTGTGAAGATCAAAATCAATTTTTCTTCTCAAAGAAAGATATATTGTGCAATATTGATATAATCTAACAAGAATGATGAAAGTAAGGCAAAATAAGTTAGTGCTAGAGATATATTTGTCGCATAGGTTATGTGAAGGGTTTGCTTTCTTATTCTTTGTAAAAGCCTTTTAAAGTACGGACACAATCCACACATCATAAAATATAGTCTTATATAATGCCCCTAATATAATCCCAAAAAAATTAAATGAAGTTCACAGCATGGCACTAATAGTAACCAATTGCACTTCTACAATATCTGCTAATTATTAGAATCCACAAATTTCAAAATATCAAAACAAATTCTGCTACTTTTGAGCTAAATGGAGGATGTACTATAGAAAACCATTGTGTGGGCCATAGTCCAAATATATTCAGGAAACCTTTTTTAAATATTTTTGGCTCTTCAGCTATCCACCATTCTTGCCATAACTCCACAGGGAATGTATACCAACTTAGAGTGTCAGTGACAGTCTTGTAGACAGTCAGATTTTTGTCAAATCTTTTGATGAAGCATTGAGCTATAAGCTAGGTCATTATGATGAACAAGGATTGAATGGCAATGATAGGGACCTTAAGCAATATATTATAAGATATGGTCTAACTTCCTGAATCACAATCTCAAGTCAATGTCATAATAAATATTAGAGCCAACAGGAAAGATGATGCAGAATGGTGAGCTTTTGGGAGCTAAACATAGCATGATCAAGAAAAATAGGTCCACATCTGACAAACAGAATGGAACCTCTCAAGTCAGCTGCTTCAAGCTAGATGTGTTGCTATACAGCAGGCAAAGCTAATAGGATCATCACTGTTGGCAACCTTAGACAACCCAAAGTAGTTTGCAATATTCCGCTAAGTAGTTGACATCTCAGCTAGTAGTAAGTAGTAAGTAGTAACATAATCTTCCTCAGCATGTGAACAGGGGTTTTGTCTACTTATTATTAGGTTACTCCTAAAAGATGTTACCATCTCAATTCATGCTCGCTTGCCTGTATAAATGAGCAGAATTAACAGCTCACTTAAACAAAACCACACTTGATCTTACCATGAATATTCATGAAGCATCCTAGTAAGTTTATAATGAGCAAGTAATTGATAGAAAAGGCGATCTGGTCAATAATATTTTAGCTTAGAAGACCATATTAATAATTAAGCATGCCAGATCATGAGATCAGTTAAAACATCTCAAATATATAAACATGAAAAAAGCAAATTTGAGGAAACTCATAATAACTATATAATCACAACACTGATAAAAAGTAATAACTCATAATAACTATACAAATCAAAACACTTATAAAAAGTAATGATCTCAATTAGCAAACCTCATAACGAAGCAAACTAAGAAATTTATAAACAAGAGTAAAACAAAGAAAACAAAGTCAAACATTCTAAGAATCCTTATAGGGAATTGAGAGGGTGTTTGGGAGAGCTTGTTTTTTGGTCAAAATAGCTTTTAAGCTACATTTTTCATATCTCCATGTGGCATCTCAAATAAGCTTGTTTTTAAGTCTCATTTAAAAAAGTTGGGGCTCCCAACTTTTGAAAAACTAGCTTATAAGCTAATCTAAATAAGTTTAGAAAAGGACAACAAAAGCTAGCACAACTTGTAAGCTTAAAAAATTAAGCCCTCCAAACACCTCTCAGTAAACCCTAGTGACTATCTTTATGAATGATAATTTAGAAAGAAAAGGAGGAAGCTGCAATATAAAGTGTCATCTTACCTTTTAGCTTCTCCTTTCAAATTCTTCGAGAACTCCTTAAAAACACTGAACTGGCGAAAATTAGAACATCTATTTTCCATGATCAGTCTGAGATGTATACTTGCAGCCTAACAAAATATTCCATGTTAGCTCATCAAATTGTTATGATTTTGAAAAAACTATATACTAATAAGACAAATAAAGATGTCTAACAAAATACCGGTTACTAAATTCAGTTCCATTGCATTAGTCAATCGATTCAATAAGGAAACTTACTGTTTATGAACAATTAATTTATTGGAAATGCATAAAATCGAAGTCAGCTCATTCATGTCAAAAGTAAAAGAGTACGTCAGAGATTCAGAAAAGGAAATAATATGTAGTATATCATGTCCGCATCAGTCAACTATTCCTCTACGTATTATCTAGTTATCGAAGAACTCTCTGAGCCCTCAGTGGTTTGTGTCATGTGTGTGACCACTTGGTCTGATTGCCATCTGCTTCCTATTTTCCGTCTGTCTAATAAATACAGCTCGATGAAAAGATCTTCACCTATGCCTTCTCCCATCAAAAGGGTTTTAGTCAATGCAACGATCCTTGCAATATTTGACGAAATCTTATTTCTCCATGTAACCTTCTAAGCAGATGATTAATTTCCTGGCAAGGAAACTATGGACGAAAAGAGGTTTCATATAAATCAAGAATGTCAAATGGCCTGTAGGAGTTTAATCCATAGAAGTCGGGAATGTGGTACGCTATTGCAAACTGCAACCCGGGTTCAATCGCCCACAGATTCGCTTAGAACATGACTCAACTCACAAACTCCCGCGACCCGATTTAGAATCCAAGCCAGTTAAAGTTTTCAAACAAAAAATAACTCTTTTTAAATGAATAAACAACAAAAAAAACATAAGAAATTAAGCAAATAAAGTATGCATATCTTAATTGCAACATGGTTCTCAAAGTTCTTATACCATTATTGATATAAACTAGCATCTAAGAACCGAATCTAAAGTGTACCATGTTCCTTGATGTACCATATAAGCCTACCCCCTCGTACCCGATTCCTAACGACCGGCGTACCACGTACCCGTAGTCCCGTGAACCAGAACAAACCGGGTTCCATGCAACTATGGTTTCATGATTCATCTTATCACCCTAAAAAATTATCGTTATATAACAAGGAGCAATCTTCAAGAGTTTTTTTGACGCAAGAAAGAAACAAAATGGATGGAGGGTCAGATGACAAACTAGGTTGATTTTAACAACTCGTTAGAAAAATGCAAATAAATTCTATGTATTCTAAAGTTAACTTTCGTTTAGCTTCTAAAATAACCAGACTAAAAATAGAATGCATTTGCAGAAAGATTAAATAAGCAAGATAGAAGAGACTGAACAGCAATAAAACGAGGTTATTTTGTATGATAGTTTGTGATGGCCCATTGAAGATTAAATAAGCACGATAGAAGAGACTGAGCAGCAATAAAACAAGGTTATTTTGTATGATAGTTTGTGATGGCCCGTTGAAGAACCAGTAATTTGCCAGTCAAGGCCCATGATAAGATGCAACTGAAGTTGCT